TGGTATGGTGAATAATCGGTTGTAAAATTGTGCACATCACACCTGAATGCCCCTACGTTCTACACGAATCGATAAAATACATACTATTTAATATTATTTTTCGTCCTCTAAGAGAAGTACGAATCGCAAGAAATATATTTCCCTTTAACCTTGTCGAGTTGGCTGAGCAATATGATTTGTCGACTTATTTTTAAACGAGTCCCTTGAACTTAGAATCCTTTTAGGAAGAATTCATTCAGGCGTGCAAAAATGATATCGGTATTTACTAAAACTTTGCAACAAGAAGTAAAATCAGATGCCAAGTTAAAAATGACATTTTTAACCTAAATAAACGACAATCCGTAGAAACTTACTCGCTACATTTATTTTGCTTTTTTTGCCAACTCTACAATAAGGGGCATAAGTCAAAATATGAAATTCAAAAAAATTTCACATACGCGAAACTGTCTCGCTTACTCTGACCCAAAACGAACCAGGAACAAAGGTGGTTAACTAAAAGTTAAGGGAATCAAGACAGATGGCGCATTACTTGCAACTGCAGTGCCTCTTATATTCTGAATAATGTTGTTTTTCAAGACGGGCGGTACTTTAAGTTCGCCCATTTTTCCCATTTATAGTGCGCTCCACTACAAAAATTCTGAGGTTATCACCCATACATTTACGTTCATAAATAATATTTACGTAAGAGCTGCACATAAAGCTTACTTTATGGATCGATAGAATTATGTGAATTCTAGCGTATAGTAAATCAAGACCATGCAGTCATTGGTTTACGATATACTCGTCAAGAATTTATACGGTTTTATAAAGAACTAAAGTCTTGGCTTGGTGTCTGTGAATTCATCAGCAGTTGCTATGACAAATTAAACTGCATCACTGTTAAAAGGTTTGAAAAAGGGTCGTAAGGTTTTTTGATCAACTCAATGCCGAAGATGAGAGCGAGCCACCCTGTAGTGAAAAATGTACATGCACCGTAATTTTCGGTTTAGGTATTAAAAATTGCAATCGGGACATCCTGCATGTAAAATTATTCAAGTTTGTTTCATAGGATCCAGGAATTTTACTCCAAATAGACACAGAAATTGTTTTTTTTATATTTATGGAAAAGTTAGTAATTGTTTAATCAATGCTATTTCTTATCTAAAACGCGTAAAATGTAATTGAACACTGTGAAAAGTTTAATTCGGTCAGATCTTTGTTTAAAAAAGAGGTTTTTGGAAAAGTTAATTGGATCTGCGATGACAATATTAGGTGCAAGATAAGTTTATCAATACGTGCGACGGAGCAGTGTTTCGTGTATCGTCGGAAAACTTCGATAATGAAATAGCTGAATAGAGGTGGTGTCTACTTACGAAAATTGGGAAATACACGAGGTTGTTTTTCGGCTCGATTGTAAAAGCGCTAAATTTTTAAGGCAGTTCTCACCAGATAAAGAAGTTCTTCCACCTGAAATTGTTACGCATGCGGTTCCACTGTCAAGTTATCAAACGGTTGTTTAATTTAAAATTGTATCACCCGATCAGCATTTTTAATTATTTGAATCTTTTGAAGTGTTTTGTCGATTTTCCGTTTTACAAACGGGGTGTACTGTTGCTAGCCTAAAATGTTTTCTTAGAGGTTTGGTTTTGTAACGGTTTTCGTTCGCATAAAGTGTGCTAGAATAAATTGTTGTAATTTCTTTTCTATTAAACAATTATCTGTCAATTTGAAACCCAGATAGAGTTCAATTTGTGTGTCAGGTTTTTTTAGTTCTTTTTTATCCCAATGTTAATTTCAATTCAAAATTTTAGTAGTGATTTCAGTGGAATTTACAGCATTTGATTGAGACATTCGGCTCTTCCAAATTTATAAAAAATGTAACTCAATGTTATTGTTGAGAGAAATTTAAAAATAAAACTAACCTAAGGGTGGTAATTGAGCTAGCTAAGTAGGTGTCTGTTTGGGTGCATACCATTACAGACAGGTTTTATTTATAACATTTTGAAATAATTTATTATATTTTTTGTTTGTTTTAAATTGTCATCGCCAAGTGTCTACAATAATTGTTTATTTTCTACCCCCTCAATTCCTCTGCCCCTTTGGCTTTATCAAGATCAGAACCAGGATCTCTTAGGCTGCCTTGTGCCTTCAATATTATTTTTTTAAATTAACTATTAGGCTACGTGGCGCCTATCCGGTTTACTATATTTTCTTTGGTTTTATTTATTTTATTTATTTGCCTTTATTTTTGAGTGGGCAGGATTGCGGCCAAGGCTGCTCTACCAACCCAACCCACTATACATTTACAAATATCCATGCCCGAACCCGGATTCGAACCAGGGGTCCTTAGCACCACAGTCCAGTTTCAACTGAGCTGCGCCACACGGGCCGGCTAGTTGTAAACGAGAACCCATTAATCATTAAAAACCTTTAAAAGAAATAGTTATAATTTTTCTAAGGTGCGTCAAATCTCGATATTGTCGTAATTAATTTTAGGAATTCAGTAGCCGTAGCAGTCTCTAAAATTCCAAAGAATTAACACATTTTCAATTGATGTAATTCTGGGTACGAAATAAAACTTGAGAACTTGAGTTTTTTTTACATAAAGCAGTCAAATAAAATGAAAAAATAGGCACTCAGGGCTTGAGTAACATACCACGCAACAAGCGACCGATGGAATAATTAATTAAAGAAATCTGAATTGTGTCAGTAATACAAAATCTCCGGTCGTAACTGTGATTTATGTTTTTTATAAGTAGTGATATTCCTTCGAAACTTCATTCTAGACGACACTGACTTCGTTGTAATTACAATTATAGCACTTTTCCGTTGATAGTAGAAAAACTCCCTTTAACTGATAAGTTGAAATCCAAAGGCTCTCTTATTTAAAACCTTTTTCTTTTCCATTTACTCCCTTCCTCCTTCCTTTAGAAAATACTGCACCGTCTTGGAATAATGTGCACCCGCGTTAAAAACATCGGCAATAACCCGTCCTTCTCTGGAATCTAACTAGCTTTACAGCGATCTGAAACCTTCTTATCTACGACCGGAGAAAAACCTGAGATAAATTGTACGCTTATAATTCTGATAAAATTATTTAAATTATCATAACAAAATAAAACAATTGTTTAAACAAAATCAAACATCAAATAACTAAATAATTTTGATATAATATAAACATTGTCCTCGAATACAACCAATGTGATCAAGATTGTGCTCAATCCCAAATTCTAACCAACATTTGACGTTAACAATAAATAAAATTCACATTGTTATTGCCGAATCAAATAAAACGTCCAATGGACGTAGTTTACACAATCGTAATTACACTGATTGAACGCAACACAGGCTATGCATAGCAATTATTTCAACGACGACCTTCTCAAGATCAACCCTGAATGTGAATGTTTCTTGAGTTGCTGGTGGAGAGCAAACTCCACAAGGGCGAAACTTTCGGGGGTCAATTTTCCGGACGAATATTTTGAGGGAGAACTTTCCGAAGGCAAATTCTCCGGGAACGAATATTCTGGGGGAGAATCTTGCGAGGTAAATCTTCTGGGACAGCGAGATTTCTGGGGGCGAATTTTCTGTAGCGAATCTTCCTACAACCGAATGGATAATGTGTACCATTTGAATCACCTCCTCCTCCCTCTCACGACCTGCTTCCAGAAACCTTTCCAGCCTTTACTGGATTAGCATATATTCAACAAGAAACGAGGAAGTCTATACTGGATAATTACGGCTTCGGCCATTTTCATTGTTTCTAACCTTTTCTGTGTTGGGATGGGCAGAAATATAGTGAAGCAATTCCTACCTGAGAAAATAGCGATTTAAAGCTTATTTAAAACCTTTTCCTTTTCCATTTACTTCCTTCCTTCTTCATTTGCAAAATACTACACCGTCTTGGAATAATGTGCACCTGCGTTAAAAATATACACGTCCTTCTCTGGAATCTAATTAGCTTTACAGCGATAGGAAAACTTCTTATCTAAGCCCGGAGAAGGAAGTGAGATAAATACTACGCACATAATTCTACCTGCTTACCTAATTTAAATTACTACAACAAAAGAAACAAAACAATTATTTAAACAAAATCAACATCAAATAACATTATAACGTAAATTAATCGGGTGCATCCGGAAGTGGACCGAATTTAAGTAGTCAACTCGTCATAAATGCGGTAGAGGGTGAAAGGAGGAGGCTTAGGTTTATAAAGGCAAGTCTATTTTTATTGTATGGCATTAGCTAATCTTGTGACACTATTACTGCAGGGTAAATTTAACCGTTATATTTACATTGAGATTGGTTACAAATAGAGTATCTCTATATACGCTAGGGTTGATTTTTAGCTAATATTGTACAGACTGTATCAAGGGAGGAAACAAACAGGATAACTCAGATTGAAAAAATACTATATTTGTTGATTGTACAGGATTTATTCTTTGTGGGAGTGTATGCTGAGGGTTAGTTTTATTTGGCTAGAGGAAAAATATTGAAAAGATATTGGGAAGATTTCCAATTTAAATATTTTCATTTAGCTATAGCGTAGAGGACGATAAATTTCGATATTGTCGTAAAGCCGTTTGACAAAACGAATATTACGAGCTAAACGTATGTAACAATCGCTGTTAAATTAAGTTTCAATTTAAGCCAACTATAATTTTAGTTTACGGCCATTTACGAAAATAATAATGTTCGTTTCAAATGTATAAGAGAAAAAGTATCCGGACGGGCGTTTTATAGGGTAAATAAACGTGATTATGGATATCTATGCGGTCATTTAATGGCAAATATAACACTTACGAAATATAAATCAAATTGTAATCGGTTGTTTTACATGGAAAGCTGAGTGAAATTCAGATGGTGCTGGCACAGCTTAGAGAGAATTCGAGAACGAATTCAATTTGGCTCGACCGTCCCTCATTTCGCAATATACAATATGGGTTGTTTCTCTACTGACTAAATAACATTTCGCTTTAAAATTGAATTCGAAGTGTTGCAAAGAGATACACGAAACTTACCGATTTATTTCCTAGATTTCGTACGCGACAGCTGAGGAATGCAGATCTTCCGACAAAGGAGGTTACATTTGTAGGTGTGGTATCGTCTATATAAGGTAATGATGATGACTTTGGGGTGTGATGCGGCGATCCCAATGGTGGAATTGTTCCACTTTCTTCAAATCCGTTATAACTGATGGCACCGGGTCCTTGAAGTCCACCGCGAACACCTGAAATGTAGGACGGTATAGTTAAAAGAAAATTGGCTGAATATAAAGAGAAATTGCACATAAATATTGTTGGACATACTTGATCTCGAATATGGCGTATTTTTTTCTGAAATATAGATCTGTGTATAGAAGGAAGTTATTTAGGAATAAGGATCGTGTAAAATGGTATATGTGGGTTTCCAGCGCATGTATGTGTCGTAAACGCCAGAAAGAGTTTGCAATAAAATAAAATAACTTTGAAATAACGACTACTTCTTTTTTCGGAGAATATCGACTTTCCCTTAATTGTCCAGAAAACTTGAGGGAATAGGTAGAATGTGGATTAGCCTTTGTTATGCCGTCGAATAACTTTTATTACAACTCAGAATTATCATAAACTTTAGGGTGCATCGTGCCGCTTTTTGATTGGAAGAAGGCAACGTGTAAATCTGAATTAAGGGATTAGCGAACTATAATCATGGAATCTTATTGGTGCTATGTACGAAACTACCACCATAATAAACGACGTGGTGGCGCAAGTAAGTTTGTTTTGTGTCAACTTAATTCGGTAAACAACAAGAAACGTGCATTTGTCGTAAGAGTTTACATGTGAAACACTTACGAAAATAAATAATGGAGACAATTTTCCAACGTTGTTGATAAAAAGACATTTGTGCCGTAAAGGAAATTGTATCACTATATTCATAAATGTGACCCCAAGATACGATCATATTGAAAGAATTACATGTAACTAATTCTCGCATTTACAAAATGTCTATTTACTTTGCAAATTACAATTCAGTTTTAGGTTTCGTTTATCGTTACACCACAGGAAACTATGGTTTATTTTTCAGTTGTCCTTACTAGTCCGGCCGGCCATTTTGAGATCTTAACTTACGGCAAATCTTGAGACATTTTGGTGAAGTGTTTTTAGGGTAATTGAACCCTACTGAATCTCACCACCTCGAAATTCGGCTACTAAAGTTCCAAATCAAGATGGCGGCAAAATGGCGACTACAACTTTTTTCTTGTTGTAAACAAAAATATTATCATGGTACATACGTTTTACCATAGATTACTATTTTATTAAAAAAATGTGTAGCAGAAAAAATCAAGATGGCGGTAGAAATTTGTGTTAAGTAATTTCTTTAATTGCGAAGAAAAAATTTGCATTTTTTTTATATGGGGGTGGTAAAAATAGGTTAAAATGAGTTTGTCTACTCACCATTGTTAATAATAATTTGCGCAAAATATAATAGTTCTCAAAATGCCGGTATTTTTGTGACATATTTTAATAACAAATTATCGAAATTTTTCGATCGAGTGCAGAGAAGTATTTTTTTTAGTTTTTTTTGACATTTTTTCTCCGTTTTTTTTATAAAAAATTATACAAAAAAATAAGGTATTTAAAATACTTTAATAAAAGTTTTAGGTTGCTACTTGAAAAAAAAATTCGATGCCGTTGCGGCGGCGCTCCAAATTTTTTTTTGCAAAAATCCGGCCCGTTATTTTTCGTTTTCGTATGCTTAATATACATATCCAAAATTTGAACAGTCTTTCGAGCCGTTACCTCGGAAAATTGCCTACGTATGCACGCACGCACGTACACTGTACATACGTCCAGACGGAAATAGTTATTTGTACAACTAGAGAAGAAAGTGGGGCTTTTCAAACAGAGTTCAGAGAATTAATTGGCTGGAATACCATTTTAAGGCGAAACAATTTATTCCACAACGAAAACGCTCATCCAAAGAGAGTATGTATCAATTTTGAGGTTTGAAAAATAGTCATTAATGTATCATGGATCGTGCTATAAAAATTACATCAGCAAAATTAAAATCTGTGTTTTCTTATCTTGAAGCTAATTAGCTTACGAAAACAAAACTTCTTACTCACGACCGAAGATAAACTTTTCCAAATCTTAGTCGTTACGATATACAGGAAAAATAATATTATATGAAATTTTTAATGGATTCGCTGTGACTTAATTGTTTTCCAGTTGACAATAATTTGATCATTACCGTTAAGCTAAGTAAAAATCCTTGATAACATTGCTAATGAATTATTTGTCGCTAAATTAAATTATGACCTATTAGTTTCAGTGCCGATCATTAGTTTTTAAAAAATAATGTGAGTTTCCATTATAATCTTTATGTTACCGTAATTCTTAACATTTTAGTTATTTAAATTTATATAATAAATGGCGTACAGAAATCTGTTAACTTGTGTGACGTGCAAATGATATCTTTCCCACGCCTTTCGGAAGTGAATTCGTTGGAAGGTTAGTAATTGAGTTCATTAATTACCGTGTTTCCTCTTTGCTTAATTGTTTATCATTTTTCGTTTCACTGGCTCTACTGCGGGCACCGTTGTTTGTTTTATTTCAGTTTAGCCCGTCTGATACTGCATTCATTCACAATGAGAGTTTTCTCATAATGAGATACACAACCAAAGTAATTAGGGAAATTCTACCTGAGGTCATTAAGCATCTGGAGGAGCTGGATTGTGCTGATATAGGCACAAAGTATGTTCAGGTTCACCATGGAACCATTGAACGACTCAAGTTTGTTCAGCCCAAATTTTCCAAGACAAAACTTATTTATCAACGTCTCCTTTCCTTAGTGCTGTAAGTAACGACGTAAACAAAGAACGCAAAGATCAATGAAATTTTACGCCCCGAAATTAATAATAAGAAATTAAGATGTTTCTAACGATGTCAATTATTTTTTTTTTTAATCTTCTCCAAGTAAAAGTTAAGTTTGGTTTATTTCCAAACTGAACGGTTTTAGAAATATTTTAGTTTTTTCTAAAATTTTTAATATTATATGGCATTTACAAAAATGACGTCTGCACCTACATCCTTACTACCTACCTTGTTAATAACTGTTCCAAAAACGTACCACTGAGTAAAACGTAAAACAGTAAAAATCTTGATTTTGGAAATGAGAGAATTTTAATTATGTTTTGGTACTGCTGATTAACACTTAGTTTAAACATAAGTATTGTCTTTCGAATACATTTCTTAAGTCGCTTAAATCTTCCTCGGATGAGGTCGTCAGTATACGGAAGCACTTTTACGCGAGATAATTCCGCTCGGAAACGGTCTACGAGTCTTTGCCAATTTGCAGGTGCATTGCTCAACCCGAAAGGCATACATCGGAAACGGAAAATGGCGAAACAGTTTGGAAAATTTTATTCGAGAGGGTTGCCACATCTAAGGGCACATATTTGATGGGTTAGACGGGACAGTGGAGGGTTGTCTCCATGAATTTAGAAGTCACCAGTCACTATCTCATAAAAGCGGATTTTTTAAACGTAAAGTATAGATAAAAATTAATCAAACGTCGACCTACTCATAATACTTAATTTAACTGCATGAGATTTAAAAGCGCTTAATTTAATTCAAAATTGATACGACCCTTTTGTAGGATATTCCATTTTTGAGAGCCGAAGGTCAAAAATTGAATGCCGCACGCTAATCTGAAGAGGTGGTAAATTTTAACTACTTAATTTTCAATTAAAAAATTAATTGAAGACATTTCTTTTAATAAAAAAGTTAAACATAATATCAATTGCATAAACTGCAGCTTCATATTTTTTTAAACTAAAGTAACTGAATAATAAAAACCATTAATTAATTAAGCAATTTGATAAACAATTCGAAAATCGTGTAAGATTGAATGAGGAACTGCCCGAAATTCGAGCGTTGTGTGGGAAAACCAACAGGGCGAGGCGAGGCGGCGTAGCCGCCGAAGCCGAACCTACGTCCCCTATTGTATTATTTTTAATACCTTGATGTTTTTAACTTGAAATCCGAAATGTTAAATCGTGGAAGTTTCAAGAAGAAATTTCGTGTAGGTACAGAAAAATGCGAAACGCCCAGAAATTCGAAAACTACTACCTATAGACTTCATGAAGCAGAAATTCGAAGTTTTAATCTGCAGTTGTGACCCATATTGCATCCTTTTTAATATAACAGGGGACACAACTTCGCATTCAGCCGCTGGGCCGTCTCGCTTCGTCCTGTTACTAAGACAGAGCTGCTGAAACTGAAGCGTTATCTAGGATGAGTAGGAACAGGGTGAGGCGAGGTGGCGCAGCCGCCGAAGCCGAAGCTATGCCCCCCATGGTATTAAAACCGATACAAAGAGGGGACATTTTGAGCTTATTTCAAATATTCGCTAGTGTGAGCGCTGCTGAACTAAGTTTGCAATAAGGAGTTTTTCGTCCTTAATTAATAACAAATCGCAATATACAAAAATTGTCAGTCGCAGTAAATTTAAACGCAAACCCACCAGCTTTATCAAATCATCGTGGAGAAATCCGTATATTATTATAAAGTTTATCAACACACTTTGAATGAACGCACAAAATGAGAAGGGCAATAGCGAATATTCCAGAAATCCCCATAGAAATTGAGGCGCCATCGGCGATAAAGAACCAAGGCGGATGTGACGTAATCATTCCGGGAACTATGACATATTTTGTTGTAGAATGTTTGCGACCACTCGGGAACACTCGAATTTACGATACAAGCAAATCGGATTCCGTTACACGACAGTTCTAATTTCGACGCTGAGGTAATAAATAGTTCACGCTGATATAAATTGTGCAGTCGTGAGTGATAAATAGTATTTTACTGTTATAAATCCATTCATTGAAATACAAAATTATTGTTAATTATTTGTAAATAAATAAACGACGTACATATATTTACGTTACATTGGTGTCCGGTGTGTGGTGTTTAGTGAACAATTAGTGAGTTTATATCAGTAGTAACCAGTAACCTTTATTACCTGGTAACAAACGACCGGTCTTACGAAGATTTTTGGAATACGCTACAGCACTACAGATTCATGGCTAGCAATTCCGAAAATCGAATGTGGTCTTGTTAGGTTGGCGCATCGTGTGCAATATGCTGGAGGTGGTATTTCAGAGAACCGCGGTGTCTCCCCTACAACAGTTTTATGAAGGGGGCAGTAGAGCGAATATTCCAGAAATCCCAATAGACATTGAGGTGCCATGAATGATTAGTCACCGACGATAAAGAACGAATGTGGATGTGGCTTATTCTTTCCGAGAAATATGACGTATTCTGTTCTAGAATGGTCGCGACAACTCGAGATCAGATCAAAAACCGAAGTCGTGAGTGATAAATAATGTTTTACTGTTATAAATTCGTTCATTTCAAGACATAAATTTATTGTTAATTATTTGTACTAAATAAACCACGGAAATTTACGTTACATTATTATACCTTGCAGGAAACACACTTTCCAGGCTCCGGGGACTACTTAACTTCGGACCCACCAAAGGGAGCTACTCGGGTCGGTGTAAGGCCGATCAACTGGAAGGTAGCATCCCGGGTGGTTACCGAGGGATCTCTGAGATGGGCGGTCAGCACGTTCAGCCCATTTAAGAGTGCAGGACCGGATGGGATATTCCCGGCTCTTCTACAGAAGGGCCTGGAGCCGCTGCTCTTACACTTGTTGCATCTCTTCAGAGCCTCTCTGGCTTTAGGGTATATCCCCGAAAGCTGGAGGAAGGTAAGAGTTGTGTACCTATCTAAGCCGGGTCGTGCTAAATATGACGTGGCGAAGGACTATAGGCCCATCAGCCTATCATCGTTTCTTCTAAAAACGGTGGAGAAGCTGGTGGATGCATACATAAGGAATGGCGTACTGGTTAGTAGACCACTACATCCGTTCCAACATGCTTACAGGGCTGGTATGTCCACGGAGACGGCTCTACACAGCCTGGTGTGCAGGCTGGAAAAGGGAATGTCTTCCGGGGGGATAGCTCTGGGAGCGTTTTTAGATATCGAGGGTGCGTTTAACAACACCACGTTCGATTCGATTAGTGAGGCTGCTGAGAGCTTTG